CCCCCCCCCCCGTCCACAAGTACGTCGTTGTTGGGGTCATTCCCCGTTCACCCATTCTACACACAGCCCTGTCTTCTTTCTGCACATCCTCTTCGCCCACCCAGCCATGCCCCTCGCCCGGCGCATCAAGCTGGCCTGTATGTGATCCACCTGGAGGCTTTTCACCCTTCCTCTTCTTCTTCTTCTTCTCCTCCTCCTCCTCCCCCCCCTATCCCCCTCTTCCCACCCATCCCTCCTTCTCTCATTCCCTCATCCTGTTTCTCTTCGTATCCAACTATTCCCCTCTCTCTCCCTCCCCCCCCCTGCGCCTGCCGCCCTGATCTGCTCACCTCTCCTCCTTCCCCTCTGTGCATCTTTGTCCTTCGTTCCTCCTCCTCCCAGTGGTCAGGCGTAGACAGCGCGAGTTTGAGTCGGCCCCACTGGATATCCACACCCAGCGGGATTTCTATCCGGTGCTTATCGGTGGTGTGAGCCTTACCCTTCTGGCCGGTTTCATCAATGCCGTCTTCGTGACCTCCATCTACCAGCGGCCGGTCAGTCATATGACCGGGCCCACCACCAACATCGCCATCCAGATGACCGCGTCCAATGTGGACCTCATCCACCTTTGGCATTACGGGCTGCTGGTCTTTTTCTTCATTTGCGGTAGCATGTGCTCCGGGCTGATTATCGGCAGCGAGCGTGAGTTCCGCCTTGATCGGAGTTACGGCTGGGCTTTGATCGTTCAAGCGACTGCCCTCTTCCTTGGTGCCATCCTGCCCACCCTCGGGAGTGCCGAGCTGCCGGTCTTCTTTGGTGCATTCGCCTGTGGTCTTCAAAACGCCCTGGTGACCACCTTCTCATCGGCCATCATTCGCACCACGCATATCACCGGTATTGTGTCGGACATTGGTGTGCTCATTGGCCAGAACCTCCACTACTACTTCTTCAACGGCCCCCCGCAGAAGGGCAGCTGGAAGTTGAAGCTCTTCATTCCCCTCTATCTGGGCTTCTTCGGTGGCGCGGCCCTTGGTGCCATGTCCGAGGTACGTCATCGCGCGTCTTTCCCTCTCCTCCTCCCTGTCTTCCTCCCTTCTGTCTCTGCCCTTTGTCCCTCCTACCTGGCCATCCTCCCCCCCCCCCCCTCCATCTCCTTTCGCGCCACTGGGAGAGAGCCTGTTTTGCATGTGTCTTTCTGACCTTTGGATCCCCGCTTCCCTCCCTCCCTCCTCCTCCCTCCCGACTGCAGCCC